TTTAGCCAAATGTTTTCCTCTCATCCCAGAATTTAATCCTGCATGACTATTTAACCAAAACATTACAGCTGTTGATATTTAATATACTATATCTCTATTGAGCCTACAGGCTGTTTTGTACACATATTCCTCAATATGCTTGTATTCAACGTATTGGGAGCAATTAAAAATTAAAAATAAAATTTAAAAAATGTGCACAGATCAACATGTAACGTCATAATTGACTGAGAGTTATCCTCTACTTTCTTGCATTATAAAAATTTATTTTGAAATAACAAATACATATTAGAATTCGACCATCGTACCATTTTAAATAAAAGTGAGAAAACACGATTTTAAGTAATCTAATTTTGAGTAGCAGTACACCTGTCTGCCTTGACGATCAGCTATAAACATTACCAACTACAAACTTCATATTCTGTAGTGACAGTTCCGAGGGCAGTCGGTGTTCAATCATCGCCCTTCCCTAGAGCTATGAACACGTGTGCTTGTTAGTTCCCATACAGGGTCAAGCATTCCACATATTGGAGTTGTTCACATGTGGGTGTTTGTACATTAAAATATATATCGTACTTGGCGTGGAGCGTTCAACATCAGTCGATGTACAGGCAGGACGGAAGTCCCCGTTTTCTGGCTGCGTATATTGTCCAGAACAGTAGATAACATGTCGCAGTTCAACAGTGAGTGAGTGAGTTTAGTTTTACGCCGCACTTAGTAATATTCTAGCTATATAGCGGCGGTCTGTAAATAGTCGAGTCTGGACCAGACAATTCAGTGATCTACAACATGCGCATCGATCTAGGCAACTGGGATACAATGACATGTGTCAACCAAGTCAGCGAGCCTGACCACCCGATCCCGTTAGTCGCCTCTTACGACAAGCATGGGCTTACTGAAGATCAATTCTACCCCGGATCTTCACGGGTCCCATGATACCTAAAGCAGCCGGTGTTTGGCTTGGATCGGTTTTCTTTGTGTTTTGTTTAACACAGCATTCAGTAGTAGGCCTATCCCAGGTGAATGGTGGATGTCATTAAATAAGTGACTCTGGGTCCCGATCCTCAAGGCGTTCGTAGCGCTCCATTCGTAAGTCTGTGATAAGCTATAGAGATACGACAGGTCGTAACGTTATCAACACTTTGTGGACCGGAACCCCGGACCTCAGGAGCAGGGTTCCCCACCAGCGTTTACCCTTAACCCAGAAAGGCTGCAGGCCCTAAGGACCCAGAACCATAAAGAGTTGTGGGTCTTGATCAGAATGTGTAGGTCCTATATCTTAATATGGAAATGATACTCTTTAGTTGTGGATAAAAAAGCTGTCGGACATAAGAACCTAGAGAAAACAAGAGTCATCAGAAGATGACAAATCCCCCCGGCCCCTACAAATTTGAAAGAACAAATCATCTGACAGTTACTTAAAGTCCAACTTGATTTTTTTACTAAGTCCAAATCGTTTCAATGGAAATCAGGAAAAGTATAAATGCCAAAAATCTGCAAATAGCAAAAGGCACTGCCAAGTCTTGAAGAAAGATAATGAACGGTTTTTGAGTTGTGCTCCGGAAACGAGGCACACCCTTCCCTTTTGAGACTAAGTCCAAAACGTTTGTGGAAACCGAGAAAAATAAATATGACAAAAATCTGTAAATAGCAAAAGGCACCACTGTAGGTTCTGTTCGATATATGTGCCATGTCTTGAAGAGAGATATTGAACGTTTTTTGAGTTGTGCTCCGGAAACGAAGGCCACCCCTCGCTTTCGAGACTAAGTCCAAAATGTTTCCATGGAGACCAAGAAAAATAAAAATGACAAAAAATCTGTTAATAGCAAAAGGCACCACTTTAGTGTCTGTTTGATATATCTGCCAAGTTGTGTTGAAAGATATTGAAAGGTTTTCGAGTTTTTCTCCGGAAACGAAGCCCACCCTTCCCCTTTGAGACTAAGTTGAAAACGTTTTCATGGAAAGCAAGGAAAATACGAATGCCAAAAATCTGTAAATAGCAAAAGGCGCCACTTTAGGTTCTGTTTGTTAAATCTGCTAAGTTCTTTTGAAAAAAATAGAACGGTTTTCGAGTTGTGCCCAGAAAACGAAGTCCATCACTCCTTTTTGAGACTAAGTCTGAATCGTTTCCATGGAAACCGGGAAAAAGACAAATGCCAAAAATTTGCAAATAGCAAAAGGCACCACTTTGGGATCTGCTTCTACTAAGTCCAAAACGTTTCCATTGAAACAAAGAAACGTAAAAATGACAAAAATCTGTAAATAGCAAAAGGCACCACTTTAGGTTTTGTTTGATATATCTACCAATTTTTGTTGAAAAATATTGAACGGTCTTTGCGCTATGCTCCGGAAACAAAATGATTACGGACGGACGGTTGGACAGACGGATGAGGCGTCGACTATATCCCCCCAGCATTGCATGCCGGGGTGGGGTGGAGTGGGGGTTTAACAAAAGTTGTGGGTCCGAGTGGTTTTCAGTCGGCTTCGGGCCTAAGGAACGACGTTAATTTCGAGCGCTGGTCCCCACAATTGGCATAGATAACAGGAATTCAATCACGTCACCGAGCTTTACCATCCGACCTATGTAGTAGCCTCTTACAAGCATAGGTTACTTGATCACTGTATTTGTCAGGCCAAAGGGCAACTGACGTAATTGTAACAGTCGCCATATTGCCAGACTGTCAGTTCATGGAGATGTTTCACGCGCTTACCCTAAACGTAATGGTCCAGCGAAGATCACATTTCATCACTCTGCAGGAAACCAGAAATAAGTTTGGACCCAAAAATATTAATTTGCCAAATATCCAAATATTCTTTGATGCTCCAGGAGTGACTATTAGCTGCCTCGGAAGTCCTGCAAGACATGGATTCTGATGGCAGTTTTAGAGACAACATTGAAAATCCTTGATGAAAGTTTCAGATTCCAGAGGCAGAGAAGTGTAAGAGCTGTTGAAAATATGACAAGTCGGAAGTCGTATGATGCACCGAGACGCGTGTTCACTATATATTTTGCAATCCATTTTTGATAGTACCCGGTGGTCTGGCCCAGCCCGACTTTTCTTGGCCCGAGTTTTAGGCACTTCCCTCGCTTGACTTTCAGTCAGATAAACGAAACTGTAATGACACAAACCCCTGTCCAGGTCAAAATCACAATGCACATTCTGAGAAACAATTTTCGATGGCGCCGTCTTCGCCTGCACCAGCTAGTTTAACATGGGGCAAGGAACGAGACGTAGGTGATTCATTTCGATGTCAGATTCACTACTATACATTTGTGATTTTCCATACTTGATCACAATGTGTCCACAGGCTACATATAACACAGAGAGCAGTCTTCAGCTACATGGTTGGTTGGTTGGTTGTTTAACGCTGCTCTCGGCAATATTCCAGCTACATGTATATGGTGACAACCCAATGTCAAAAGCAAAGAGCCTGACCACCCCATCCCTTTAGTCGCCTCTTACGACAAGAATGGGTACTGAAGACAAATTTCTAACCCAGATCCTCACGGGAGACAAGTATGGGTTACTGAAAACCAATTCTAACCCAGATCTTCATGGGAGACAAGCATGGGTTACTGAAAACCAATTCTAACCCAGATCCTCACGGGAGACAAGTATGGGTTACTGAAAACCAATTCTAACCCAGATCCTCACGGGAGACAAGTATGGGTTACTGAAGACCAATTCTAACCCAGATCTTCATGGGAGACAAGCATGGGTTACTGAAAACCAATTCTAACCCGGATCCTCACGGGAGACATTGCTGAAGACCAATTCTAACCCGGATCTTCACGGGAGACAAGCATGGGTTACTGAAGACCAATTCTAACCCGGATCCTCACGGGAGACATTATTGAAGACCATTTCTAACCCGGATCTTCATGGGAGACAAGCATGGGTTACTGAAGTCCAGTTCTAACCCGGATCTTCATGGGAGACAAGCATGGGTTACTGAAGACCAATTCTAACCCAGATCCTCACGGGAGACAAGCATGGGTTACTGAAGACCATTTCTAACCCGCATCTTTATGGGAGACAAGCATGGGTTACTGAAGATCAATTCTAACCCGCATCTTTATGGGAGACAAGGATGAGTTACTGAAGATCAATTCTAACCCGGATCTTCATGGGAGACAAGCATGGGTTACTGAAGACCAATTCTAACCCAGATCTTCACGGGAGACAAGCATGGGTTACTGCAGACAATTCTAACCCAGATCCTCACGGGAGACAAGCATGGGTTACTTAAGACCATTTCGAACCCGGATCTTCATGGGTATCAGCAACATTGACTTTGGTCTGGGAAGATGTCACAGTAGGTTACTCTACTGATGTACTTTATACATTTTTAGAGATAATGAAGACAAACTTATCAAATTTCAACTCTACTGATTATTTTCACCGAAGGAAGCTTTCTGTTCAGATGAGGTCATGTTATCAATTTGTCACATCAACGAATGACTTCACATCGTATCTCCAACTTCAAGTGACGGTCACTGAGACTGCATCATGTGCAAACATCGTGAACATTATTGCACATGACCTATCAACCTGTATGGGAAATATTTGCAGCTGCTTTGGCCTTTAAAATCCTGAAATTGTTAACCCTTCAACACTTTTTCTGACTCATATATTTCCCAACCCTTAAATACCCGTGAAGATCCGGGTTAGAATATTGATCTTCAGTAACCCATGCTTGTCGTAAGAGGCGACTAACGGGATCGGGTGGTCAGGCTCGCTGGCTTGGTTGACACATGTCATCGGTTCCCAATTGTGCAGATCAATGCTCATGTTGTTGATCACTGGATTATCTGGTCCAGACTCGATTATTTACAGACCGCCGCCATATAGCTGGAATAATGCTGAGTGCGGCCTAAAACTAAACTCACTCACTCACTCTCAACTCTTAAACACTCTATACCTCAGAGTACAAAGCTTTCATCTATTTCTGTCATTACTCATACGACTCACCCATTCATAAACATTCACAACTACAACAAGTCTGATCAAAATAGATTTAATCATTCAGGGCAATGTACAATAGATATTGCTGTAAATTTGCATGTAACAAAAATATAATTAAATCCATTAAATTATCAGTATATCAACAATCACAGACCTAATAAAAAACAGGACCTAATCTATGTAAACAATTAAAGCATTCTATTTCAAATAAACAAACAAACAAATTCACTGAGTGGCTACAAGAGAGAAATGCTTTTCTCAAATGAATCGACACGTGTAATGTAATATTACTGGCATTTGGTTTCACAACCGTCATGTAGTTGTCAGAATTTGACTATTTATTCACATGTTATCATTCACTGAGGATATTGATACCTTTCTTTAGGAGTTCAATATACATCAACTCCTTTCGGTCTAGTCTATAAGGCATTATTAAACCAGTGAGTGATCCTATTTTACACAAACTTCGGATTAAAATGACCTTCAGGTAACTCCTAATTTGCACCTGTCCGTGTGATGTGAGGCACAAAAAGATTAAGCTCATGGCAGCAAAATACACATCTAAGTACAGTTACAGCATGAATCGCAATCAATAGAAACCAAGCCTGTGCCGTTTATCCATTACTCTGCCTTCTACAACAAGCTTACCTACTTTTCTGGAGGCCAACTCAATATGGAATCCCCACATAAACATTGTTTGTCACAAGTACCTTTAACAAAAACAGTCACGTGAACAGCGTGTTGACTAACAGTAAGTACTAAAATACATCGGATCTGCATCTGGAAATGTTTGACAGCACATATAAATGAGAGAGGTAATAACTTACACACTAACGTCAGCTGAAGCCATTAATCTGGTATTGAAGTGACACTTGTCTCCCTGGTCATCTTTAAACAGAACTCAGGAATGACTTGGCACAATCCACTTGGCTACCTGTGTCCTGACTAAATCACGGGTCTTTTTTTATCACCTTGATATGCACCAAAACATAAAGAAAAAAGAAAGAAAGAAAGAAAAGTGGAGACTTTATTTTGAACATCACACTATCATAGAACAGACCGTGATGAAGAGAGCCGAAACTCAGCAGCATCTCTTGGTGTTGTCTCTGTATATGTTCTGTGTGCACTATCTTCTGTTCTGAGGGGAGTCGACTTTCACATTTACAACAATATTGCCATCTGTAAATGACCTGTCCGCTTAATTAGTTACCTGTAATGTTACCTGAATGATGATTATTTACATTCACGGAACACACTACCTGTGATTGAAGTTACTATTTAGTAGAAAAACAGCATGTATTTTCCTACCATGAAACAAAGACAAGGAATTGGTTAGATAACCATCATTTGAGGTACTGAAACATCAGTACCATGATAACAAAAATTTAAGATATCACTCATTCAAAGTCTCATTGTCACTTGAAAAGTCCAAGACCACCCATAAAGACATTAAGGCCCACAAAATTCTTTCACTTTATAATGTCACTATTATCAGCATGTCATCGATATATATATCTTGGACGAAACGTTAAAGTTCTCAAATAACACTGAAATTTTTTTATAATACCAGCGAAATCCTTGCTAGTAGAATACTGTTATGAACTGGTCATCTTGTTCGATCCACCCAGCAAACCACAAAGACTTCATGTACATGACTGGCAAGAAAAATGGACAGTTCGTTTAGCAAGAACTTCTTGGAACAAACAACATTAAGACATTAAAACATTAACCAGTTTTCACAAGAAGCAATGTGAGAAACTGTATGTTTAGGACTGCTATACTCATCCATATTGTTCATAAGTTAGCATGTGAGCTTGTTCAATGTAATCATATTTCAGAGTAATATTCTAATGTCATAAAATATTTTAAAAGGTGTATTTTTTGCAAACATTGACTTTTAACTACCAAGCCTGTGAGCCAGTAAAACATGATCTAGCATTTCTATATATTTCCTGGAACTGAAAACAGCCTCACAGCGACTGGACAGTTCTGAATAATGGTTTCACAATGGATTTCATATTTCAAAGTAAAGACATAAATATATGCACAGATGGATTTTAATATGTGTGATTGTCATACTGTTCATGACAAATAATAAACAAATGGTTAACAATCTGGAGGAAATGAATAAAAGTGTGTTTTCAGATGAAGACAAATGCTTCACGCATTGCCATCTTTCCTTAAATCTTTCTTTACTTGATGGAGTACACCACAGACACTCCCGACACACATTCAGACACTGTGACTTACAACATTCAACAGTTGCTGTACATACATTTCCTGAGCAGGACATAAAGTAAAAAGAAACATGAGCTGGACCCTGGTTGATATTTTGTATAAATTTGGAAGAAAATTACTTTACTGTAATAATAAGAATCTGAGTGAACCGAGTCTGTGATGGTTGGCGGTGCTGTGAAGTACAGAAGACTGGTCAGGGTTTCCAGTTACAGAGAAGGCCTGGTGGTGTGTACATATAACACATCTAAAATAACCTATATGTCAAGAATAAATATGTTCACAACAAACATAAATTTTACAGTGTGCCATGAAGCAAATTCTATAAAAAAAGTAACATTCTGCTTTTCTATCACCAAAGAATGCTAGAAACCCTAAAATTGTTTCAGTTCCTTTGCAGTATGTTGGCTTCATTTTAGTTTTAGGAGAAGAAACATCATATATTTCTTGTGGTTTGATATTCTCAGTGTAATCAGTTTCAGCAAGCTAGCCTACCACAGCAGTTTGGTACAGTATAGTTGAATAATGTGTTATAACTTCTATAGATACTTCATAAAAACTGGACAATGTTTGAAAACAAATTCAGAGAAACAACTAACAACATGAATCACAGTCCATCACTTCAGAGACTGTCAGAAGTTGTGTCCAGTAACAATGTCCAATAAGGTCAGCCTATCCTTATACATAAATTAACACTATTTACATGGATCCTGGTCAACATTATTTAAACCATCAAAATTTTGTCATGAAAGGAGTATTTGTGCTTATTTGTAGCAGCATCCCATATTTGAAGCATCTGTGTTTGTCCAAAAGACTCATCTGGTGGCTGGAGACTGTACACAACATATGACATCTAACTTGTCATCATCTCCACTCACATATACGATATATAGAACTGACAAGTATCTAGCACACACTGTGGTCGTCATGCAAGATGAGGGCATGCCAAGCTACAACACCGGTATTTTTGAAAACAGAAATCTGCTGCCCACAGTGTTCAGAAATGCATTATCAATTTATGGTGGGAAGGCACCAGGAACAGCCCTGTGTACCCATGTGGGGAATCAAACCTGGACTTTCGGCAGGACTGGCATTAACCATAATGCCACCTTAATGCCTTCAGTGTTAAAAAGAATTTTTTTTACACACATTATAACTTAGGAACATGTTTTTGACTGGCCAAATGAGGATAAGACTTCATATTACTGAAGGTCCTGAGGTATTCTAGTGGGCGACTGGGAGAAGGACATGACACCAAGACAATCACCTTTAGACTTGTAGCCATCTCACTACCGAAATAATTCAAACATGAAACTTGTTGATATCAAGCTGAAAAATATGTCTTCACTTCTGGTTTAAAACGATTCTGATCACAGATGGAGGAAGTCTGCTGTGGTGGTGATGCCTTGCTCCTGTAGATGCCTTGCTATCAGTCTCCTCTGTAATGACTTTTCTTGTCGCTGCGGACGAGGAAGATGTAGCGACTGCTGCCGATGGCGATGCGGGGGTAGCTGCCTTGGCGGTCATTGTCGATGCAGTAGACGCCCTGAGGTAGGTCTACAAGCTGACCGGTGGTCTGTGTGAGAGAATGGATTACCGAGATAATCAGTTTGTGGGGAGACTGGATGTATTCAATGATCATAAGAGCATAAGAACGGTACTCGTATGATCTGTGAAAAAAGATCAGAGTTTTAGTTCAGTTTAGTTACAACATAAAACATTGAGAAATCAGTTTGTTGACTTTGCCCAATGGAAAACTTCCAGACTGAGAAACACTTCCTCGCACAACTAAAGGAATTAAGATCTTTATCAGACATCAATCTTTTGAACCTGAAGGTGGAATTTGTGTGGCTGTTTCAGGTTTAGAGTGATTTTATGGACACTTCCATCACTAAAAGAGCACCCTACAACAATGATCCTTTTGTACACATATGACCAAGGTTCAAAGCAAATTGTTTTCTGTACCCCCCAAAACATAAGAAGCACAAACAGTGTTCACATCATTTGTTATTCAGTGCATGAGTCCACCCAAAACCTGAAGCACGTTCTAAGACTATTAAGAGTCAATAATTTTCATGTTTTCCTCTCTAAAAACCCATTAATGAACAAATAGAGAAGAATGGCAACATGTAAAGAACTTTAACGACAATAAACTGTGTTGTTTTGGGATCCTGCATTCTCTTCCCACAGACGTTACTCCTGTCATATCTTCCTACGTAACCTCTGTTCTAATACGGCCCTTTCATGGCGTGAGCATTCAAGACTCGTGATTGGAGGCAATCAGATTTAGTTGTGCAATCAGCGACGTTGTTTCAAAAGTGATCATTCGCAAGGCCTCGGTAATTTCCGTATACTTCGAGAAACCTAAACCTCTTCCCCTGCGTGATGCGCAAACGTTTCTTCTAGACAGAACTCAGTCATGTTATGGCGGATCAGTGGTGTCTCCATCGCCCTCGTTGACAACGGACAAGCTAGCCATTAAACGTCTTGTGTGTAACATCAACACAAGTCCCCAGCAGATGGGGGACATTTGTGGCCTCACATTTGCTTGTGTTAGTCAAGTTGAATCTAAGTCGATGTTACACGTGTTCTGATTGGATAGAAAGAAGGGAGATAATTCGTGTTGCGATCTTTTGCCACTAGGGGATTTTACGAGAACCGGGAAATATGGCCGTATTAGAACAGAGGTTCGTAGGAAGATATGACAAGTAACCTCTGTGGGAAGAGAATGGGGAACCTGATGATTAGGGATATTACAGGCATTTCAGGAAAAGAATCATCATGAAGGAATCTTTGGACAAAACAAGAGACTGTCTCCAAAATACCTAAATGTGAGTTACCAGGGGAATTGACTAATGAGTTTCTCTCTGGAAAACAACAACAAACTACTTTGAAGTCTAACTTGGAAATTTCCAAACTTCCTAAATGGCTCAAGTTCATGACGAGACTGATAGAGCAGCAGAAGTGCACAGTGGGATCAAGAAATGCTGAATGGTCTCTCAGGAATTCTGTGTGTGTGTGTGTGTACTCATATTGAGTGTCCCTTTGTCAACTATCCAATATGGAGATGTACTTACATTAAGTGTTTGTCCATCAATTATCTGGTACATGAGAGTACTTACATTGTGAATTCCTCTAGGATTCAGTAGGTGGGTGTACTTACATTGAGTACTCATCTGTCGAGTGGGTGTACTTACATTGAGTACTCATCTGTCGAGTGGGTGTACTTACATTGAGTACTCATCTGTCGAGTGGGTGTACTTACATTGAGTACTCATCTGTCGAGTGGGTGTACTTACATTGAGTACTCATCTGTCTAGTGGGTGTACTTACATTGAGTACTCGTCTGTCGAGTGGGTGTACTTATATTGAATACTCATCAGTCTAGTGGGTGTACTTGCATTGAGTACTCATCAGTCTAGTGGGTGTACTTACATTGAGTACTCGTCTGTCTAGTGGGTGTACTTAAATTGAGTACTTATCTATCGAGTGGGTGTACTTACATTGAGTACTCATCTGTCTAGTGGGTGTACTTACATTGAATACTCATCTGTCTAGTGGGTGTACTTACACTGAGTACTCATCTGTCTAGTGGGTGTACTTACATTGAGTACTCATCTGTCTAGTGGGTGTACTTACACTGAGTACTCATCAGTCTAGTGGGTGTACTTACATTGAGTACTCATCTGTCTGTCTGTTGAGTACTCATGGGTGTACTTACATTGAGTACTCATCTGTCTAGTGGGTGTACTTACATTGAGTACTCATCAGTCTAGTGGGTGTACTTACATTGAGTACTCGTCTGTCGAGTGGGTGTACTTGCATTGAATACTCATCAGTCTAGTGGTTGTACTTACACTGAGTACTCATCTGTCTAGTGGGTGTACTTACATTGAGTACTCATCTGACTAGTGGTTGTACTTACATTGAGTACTCGTCTGTCTAGTGGGTGTACTTACATTGAGTACTCGTCTGTCTAGTGGGTGTACTTACATTGAGTACTCATCAGTCCAGTGGGTGTACTTACATTGAGTACTTTCGTCTGTCTAGTGTCTAGGTCGAGTGGGTGTACTTACATTGAGTACTCATCTGTCTAGTGGGTGTACTTACATTGAGTACTCATCTGTCTAGTGGGTGTACTTACATTGAGTACTCGTCTGTCTAGTGGGTGTACTTGCATTGAATACTCATCAGTCTAGTGGGTGTACTTACATTGAGTACTCATCTGTCTAATGGATGTACTTACATTGAGTACTCATCTGTCTAGGGGGTGTACTTACATTGAGTACTCATCTGTCTAGGGGGTGTACTTACATTGAGTACTCATCAGTCTAGTGGGTGTACTTACATTGAGTACTTACATTGAGTACTCATCAGTCTAGTGGGTGTACTTGCATTGAATACTCATCAGTCTAAGTGGGTGTACTTACATTGAGTACACTGAGTACTCATCTGTCTAGTGGGTGTACTTACATTGAGTACTCATCTGACTAGTGGTTGTACTTACATTGAGTACTCATCTGTCTAGTGGGTGTACTTACATTGAGTACTCATCAGTCTAGTGGGTGTACTTACATTGAGTACTCGTCTGTCTAGTGGGTGTACTTGCATTGAGTACTCGTCTGTCTAGTGGGTGTACTTACATTGAATACTCATCAGTCTAGGGGGTGTACTTACATTGAATACTCATCAGTCTAGTGGGTGTACTTACATTGAGCACTCATCTGTCTAGTGGGTGTACTTACATTAAGTACTCATCTGTCTAGTGGGTGTACGTAAGTGTCCCTTTGTCTAGATAGGTGTACTCCATTGTCTAGGGGAGTGTACTTACAATTTAGTACACGTCACTCTATGTGGGTGTACTTACATTGAGTGTCCCTCTGTCTATAATCCTGGCCATATTCTGATCTGTTCCTCCACAGATGATGCTGTCCTTGCCTAGCCACTGGGCACAGTATAGCTGAAAAGGATAACATATATAGCTGCAAATCACAAGATAACTCACAGTGCTAAAACACTGTTCATAAGACATAGCACTGCAACACTGAGGATAATCCACACTGCAGCAGCAAACAGGATAACACATGCAGCTGCAGCAAACAGGATAACACGTGCAGTTGTGGCACACAGGATAACACGTGCAGTTGTGGCACACAGGATAACACGTGCAGTTGTGGCACACAGGATAACACATGCAGCTGCAGCACACAGGATAACACGTGCACTTGTGGCACACAGGATAACACATGCAGCTGCAGAACATAGGATAACTCATGCACTTGTGGCACACATGATAACACATGCACTCGTGGCACATGGGATAACACAGAGCTGCAAAACAGAGGATAACACATACTACCGAGGACACATACAAATTTAACACTAAAGCACAGCTGCAACACTCAGCTACAACACATGGAAACACATACAGCTGCAGCACAGTTGTAAGCAGACACGTTTAGAAACGGAATTTTATTTTGATCATCATATTCACATGTATTGTTTCCCTATTACCACTGGTGGGTGTGAGTCACTGACAGACGTACCTGACTAGAGTTGAGGGTGTCCTGCGGTACATCCTTAATCTTAGCTCCCAGGGAGAAATCCCAGATCTGTCAAATGTCAAACAAATATTAATCAGCAACAAAGCAATCAATTTATTTACCTGACAATGTGAGCAGACATAGAAACTACACCGTACAACTTCCTCTGCAGAGCAAAATATGGATATCTTATAGTTATAAAATGTTCTGTCATAGAAACTACACTGTACAACTTCCTCTGCAGAGAAAAATATGGATATCTTATAGTTATAAAATGTTCTGTCATAGAAACTACACAGTACAACTTCCTCTGCAGAGAAAAATATGGATATCTTATAGTTATAAAATGTTCTGTCATAGAAACTACACTGTACAACTTCCTCTGCAGAGAAAAATATGGATATCTTATAGTTATAAAATGTTCTGTCATAGAAACTACACAGTACAACTTCCCCTGCAGAGAAAAATATGGATATCTTATAGTTATAAAATGGTCATAGAAACTACACTGTACAACTTCCTCTGCAGAGAAAAATATGGATATCTTATAGTTATAAAATGTTCTGTCATAGAAACTACACAGTACAACTTCCTCTGCAGAGAAAAATATGGATATCTTATAGTTATAAAATGTTCTGTCATAGAAACTACACTGTACAACTTCCTCTGCAGAGAAAAATATGGATATCTTATAGTTATAAAATGTTCTGTCATAGAAACTACACAGTACAACTTCCTCTGCAGAACAAAATATGGATATCTTATAGTTATAAAATGTTCTGTCATAGAAACTACACAGTACAACTTCCTCTGCAGAGCAAAATATGGATATCTTATAGTTATAAAATGTTCTGTCATTGTGTGACCAAAACATAAGAACCCCATTGAAAAATATGCAAACAGTTAACTGTTAAAAGTTGACGATTATATAGTTCCTTATGGACCAATCATTTCATATTCTGTGGGTGCCTGGGACTGTATGCAGAGATTACAGGGCCTTAGTGGTTGTTCTGAAAAGGGCTGTTCTTTTATGGATGCAAACAGTGACAGCGAAAGACTGGAAACCCCTTCCACCAGAAGATTGGTACCTGAAGGACCGAGTGCTTCCTCCAACTCCCAGTAAGGATGTGGTTGTGTAGTTGGTCTATGTCAAGGGCGTCACCACAGATGTGAGGGCCACAGAACTTCCTGTAAAGACACACACAGAGTTAGACACACCTACTGTTCTGCACCAGTAGTGACTACCAACATCTACTTTGTGTTTATTCAGAAAGTGCTCAACGCTACACTCAAGGTAATTGGATGAGCTTATGAGAGAGTGATGTGAGGTGAGGGGAAATAGGGTTAAACGTCGAACTTAAGATTATTTTGCTCATATGATGACATGCATGCGTGTGTATGTGTGGCTGCTTGTACTAGCCCAGACTTAAGCTGGTTTAATAGTGCTAGCTCACTGAGATACCATGCAGCAGTTAAGCATGAATACTCCACTCAGACACATTATACTGACTCTGAACTGACCAGTCCTTGTTGTGCCCATTAATGCCGAGCGCCAGGCAGGGATCAACAAGTACCTTATTTTAACATCTTTTGGTGAGACCCGGCCGGAGATCTAACCCACGACCTTCCGCTCTCCGGACGGAGGCAGTCTTGTGAGAGAGTGGGTGGGTGGATAGATTGGTTGATGGGTATTTTGGGTGAGGTGGATGGTCTGGTTGATGGGTATGTGAGGTGAGGTGGATGGATTGGTTGATGGGTATGTGAGGTGAGGTGGATTGTCTGGTTCATGGGTATGTGAGGTGAGGTGGATGGTCTGGTTCATGGGTGTGGGGTGAGGTGGATGGATTGGTTGATGGGTATGTGAGGTGAGGTGGATGTATTGGTTAACGGGTATGTGAGGTGAGGTGGATGGTCTGGTTGATGGGTAGGTGAGATGAGGTGGATGGTCTGGTTGATGGGTATGTGAGGTGAGGTGGATGGTCTGGTTGATGGGTATGTGGGGTGAGATGATGGATTTGTTGATGGGTATGTGGGGTGAGGTGATGGATTGGTTGATGGGTATGTGAGGTGAGGTGGATGGTCGGTTGATGGGTATGTGAGGTGAGGTGGATGGATTGGTTGATGGGCATGTGGGGTGAGGTGGATGGACTGGTTGATGGGTATGTGGGGCGAGGTGGATGGTCTGGTTGATGGGTATGTGAGGTGAGGTGGATGGATTGGTTGATGGGTATGTGAGGTGAGGTGGATGGTCTGGTTGATGGGTAGGTGGGGTGAGGTGGATGGTCGGTTTGATGGGTACGTGGAGTGAGGTGGATGGTCTGGTTGATGGGTATGTGGGGTGAGGTGGATGGTCTGGTTGATGGGTATGTGGGGTGAGATGATGGATTTGTTGATGGGTATGTGGGGTGAGGTGATGGATTGGGTGATGGGTATGTAGGGTGAGGTGGATGGTCCGGTTGATGGGTATGTGGGGTGAGGTGATGGATTGGTTGATGGGTATGTGGAGTGAGGTGAATGGTCTGGTTGATGGGTATGTGGAGTGAGGTGGATGGTCTGGTTGATGGGTATTTGGGGTGGATGGATTGGTTGATGGGTATGTGAGGTGAGGTGGATGGATTGGTTGATGGGTATGTGAGGTGAGGTGGATGGTCGGTTGATGGGAATGTGAGGTGAGGTGGATGGTCTGGTTGATGGGTATGTGGGGTGAGGTGATGGATTGGTTGATAGGTATGTGGGGTGGATGGATTGATTGATGGGTATGTGGGGTGAGTGGATGGTCTGGTTGATGTGATGTGAAATTGGGTTTAACGTTGTGCTTGAGAATATTTCGCTCATATGACGACGTGCATGCATGTGCATGTGTATGTGCGGCTGCTTGTACTAGCCCAGATTTAAGCTGGTTTGATAGTGCTAGCCCACTGAGATACCACACTGCAGTGAAGCATGAATACCCCCACTCCAGACACATTATATTGACTCGAGCCCGACCAGTCCTTGTTGTACCCATTAATGCAGCCCAGGCAGGACCAACAAGTACCATATTTGAATGTCTTTTGTTATAGCCAGTGATTAGGATCCCGAACCCACGACCTTCCGCTCTAACACTACATCACTAGAAATGTGGAATGTCTGGTTGATAGGTATGTGAGTGAGTGGATGGTCTGGTTGATGGGTATGTGGGGTGAGGTGGATGGAGTGGTTGATAGGTATGTGGGGTAGAAGTGGATGGTCTGGTTGATGGGTATGTGAGGTGAGAGTGGATGGATTGGTTGATAGGTATGTGGGGTGAAGTGATGGATTGGTTGATGGGTATGTGGGGTGAGGTGATGGATTGGGTAATGGGTATGTGGGGTGAGGTGATGGATTGGTTGATGGGTATGTGGAGGGTGAGGTGGATGGTCTGGTTGTTGGGTATGTGGGGTGAGAGTGGATGTATTGGTTGTTGGGTATGTGGGGTGAGTTGATATGATCTGGTTGATGGTATGAGTGAGATAGGAATGGATGGTCTGGTTGATGGGTATGTGAGGTCAGGTGGATGGATTGGTTGATGGGTATGTGGGGTGAGAGTGGATTGTCTGGTTGATAGGTATGTGAAAAGTGAAGTGGATGGTCTGGTTGATAGGTATGTGGGGTGAGGTGGATGGATTGGTAGATGGGTATGTGAGGTGAGATTGGATAGATTGGTTAATGGGTGAGGTGAGAAAGTGGATGGTCTGGTTGATAGGTATGTGAGGTGAGGTGGATGGTCTAGTTGATGGGTATTTAGGTGGATGGATTGGTTGATAGGTATGTGAGGTGTAGAATTGAAGTTGGATGGATGGATTCTGGTTGATGGGTATGTGAGGTGAGGTGGATGGTAAGTTGATGGGTGGATATGTTGATAGGTAGGTGAGAGTGGATGGTATGGTTGATGGGTATGTGAAATGAGGTGGATGGTCTGGTTGATGGGTATGTGAGGTTGAGGTGGATGGATTGGTTGATGGGTATGTGAGGTGAGGTGGATTGTCTGGTTGATGGGTATGTGAGGTGGGAGTGGATGGTCTGGTTGATGGGTATGTGAGGTGAAAGTGGATGGATTGGTTGATAGGTATGTGGGGTAGAGTGATGGATTGGTTGATGGGTATGTGGGGTGGATGGATTGATTGATGGGTATGTAGGGTGAGGTGGATGGCCTGGTTGATGTGATGTAAGTAGGGTTTAACGTTGTGCTTGAGAATATTTAGCTCATATGGCCAGCGATGCATCGTGTGTATGTGTATGCGGCTGCTTGTACTTGTACTTAGACTTAAGCTGGTTTGATAGTGCTAGCCCACTGAGATACCAGCTGCAGTGAAGCATGAATACCCCACTCCAGACACATTATATTGACTCCGAGCGACCAGTCCTTGTTGTACCCATTAATGCAGCGCCAGGCAGGACCAACAAAGTACCATATTTGAATGTCTTTTGGTATGGCGGTGGAGGATCGAACCCACGACCTTCCGCTCTAACCAACTACATCACAGAGGCGGTCGGTCTGGTTGATGGGTATGTGAGGTAAGGTGGATGGTCTGGTTGATGGGTATGTGGGGTGAGGTGGATGGAGTGGTTGATGGGTATGTGGGGTGAGAAGGTGGATGGTCTGGTTGATAGGTATGTGGGGTGAGGTGGATGGATTGGTAGATGGGTATGTGAGGTGAGTTGGATGGATTGGTTAATGGGTGAGGTAGGAGGTGGATGGTCTGGTTGATAGGTATGTGAGAGGTGAAATGGATGGTCTAGTTGATATAGGTATTTGGGGTGGATGGATTGGTTGATAGGTATGTGAGGTGAGGTGGATGGATTGGTTGATGGGTATGTGAGGTGAGTGGATGAGATTAGGTTGATGGGAGAATGTGAGGTGAGGTGGATAGGTCTGGTTGATAGGTATGTGAGGTGAGGAGTGGATGGTCTGGTTGATAGGTATGTGAGTTGAGGTGGATGGATTGATTGATGGGTATGTGAGGTAGAGGTGAAGATGGATTGGTTGATAGGCATGTGAGAAATAGAGATGGATGGATTGGTTGATAGGTATGTGGGGTGAGGTGATAGGATTGGTTGATGGGTATGTGGGGTGGATGGATTGATTGATAGGTATATGTAGGTGAGGTGGATGGTCTGGTTGATGTGATGTGAAATTGGGTTTAACGTTGTGCTTGAGAATATTTACGCTCATATGGCAGGCGTGCATGCATGTGTATATGTGTATATCTGGCTACTTGTACTATGAGACTTAGCTGGTTTGATAGTGCTAGCCCACTGAGATACCACGCTGCAGTGAAAACATGAATACCCCCTCAGACACATTATATGACTCCGAGCAACCAGTCCTTGTTGTACCAGTAGTGCATGGCGCCAAGGCAGGGACCAACAAAGTACCATATTTGAATATCTTTTTGTATAGTAGCGGATAGAGATGAACCCGACCTTCACTCTAACACTACATCCCAACGAAATTTGATAGGTATGTGAGGTAGAGTGAAATTGGATGGAGTCTGGTTGATAGGTATGTAGGGTGAGAGTGGATGGAAGTAGTTGATAGGTATATGAGGTGTAAGTGGATGAGTCTAGTTGATAGGTATGTGGGGTAAGGTGGATGGATTAGTAGATGGGTATGTGAGAGTGAGTTGGATGGATTGGTTAATAGGTGAGGTGAGTGGAATGGTCTGGTTGATGGGTATGTGAGGTGAAAGGTGGATGGTCTGGTTGATGGGTATTTGAATTGAAATTGGATGGATTGGTTGATGGGTATGTGAGAGGAGGTGGATGGATTAGTTGTGATAGGTATGTGAGGTAGAAAGTGGATAGAGTAGGTTGATATTAGGAATGTGAGGTGAGTGGATGGTCTAGTTGATGGGTATGTGAAATTGAGGTGGATGGTCTGGTTGATAGGTATGTGAGGTAAGTGGATGGATTGATTGATAGGTATGTGAGAAGTGAGGTGGATGGATTGGTTGATGGGCATGTGAGGTAGAGATGGATGGATTGGTTGATAGGTATATGGGGTGAGGTGATAAGATTGGTTGATAGGTATGTAGGAGTGGATGGATTGATTGATAGGTATGTAGGAGTGAGAGTGGATAGTCTAGTTGATGTGATGTGAAATTGGGTTTAACGTTGTGCTTGAAATATTTACGCTCATATAGCAGACGTGCATGCGTGTGTATGTG